CCCCAAAATCATTTGCAATTCGGCTGGACCAGGAAATCCAAACAGCTGGGAACCACTGGCTTCGCTTGCTGACCCGACCCGCGGGGAGTACAGGCTCGCTTCTGGGCCCTGTCTTCCCGCGGTCGTGGGTCTTCCGGTTGACGCGCCTGGGTGGGTTCCCGGCTCCCTATTCCAAATGTGGGGAGACTTGCCCTGCCCCAGCTTCTCCCCAGGAGTGTTGTCAGGGCAAATTTTCAGGAACTACAGAGCTTGGGGAAAGGAGTCCAATAAATCTATGGGATCGCGGCTCCTAAAGACAGCTGGCGTGTTCCCAGCGGGAGGGGTTAACGATCGTGGAGAGACCCACGATGACTACTCTGCCACAGCATGTGGAGAAAGCGACCAGCACGCCACCGACTCATAAAACGCGCAAACTGTCCCGCTGACCGGCGGGAGCGGACAGCAGAGGCAGCGGGCCTCCTGAGGGGCTTGGCTTCTCCCTATCTGAGGGCACAGGTCCAAGACGCGACTAGGGCCTGGGGGACTTGAGTTCTAGTTCTCTCTCTCGGGCCCATACCCAAGGACCTACCACGGGTCATCCGGCCTTCCCTAATCTGCTTTTCCATCTCTGTAAGGGACAGGTGCTTGCTCGGTCCTCTCCGGAAGGGTGTGCGGGGCTGTGGGAAAACACACTACCCGTTCCTCAGCGCCTCGCCTGAAAAGATTGCCCGTTTTTGTCCCTTTCAAAACAACATAGAATCCTCCTCTTAATGTTTACTTCCGGAATAGCCTGCCCTAGGTTTCTACCCCCAGTCGCACCGGTGGGTCGCTCCCCTCGCACTAGGCTACGAGGCGTCCAGGAAGGAGACAAGCCGCTTTTGCCACCAGCCTGAGCATAAACAGCCGAGGAGGTGGACCTGATGGCTTGACCAAAATAGGCCTAAGTACAGCATACCCCGAACGAAAAACATAGTGTTTGGGGAAACGTGTGTGCGGGCTCCCTCCCTTCTGCACATAGCTGAGAATTAACTGCAGATGAAATCCCTTTGATCTGTAGCAACCTGAGGCATCAGGCCGCCCAGGGTTAGCGATCAACACTACTTTTGTCGGAACTTGTCTGGTATTTCACAGTCTCAGCCCTAAACAGAATGTTGCCGACTTCGGTCTAACTTGGTGCGCTTGGCTCCCGCGATCCTGTAGGTAAGGATGCCCCGCCCAAAACACAAGGGCAACTTACGCCACACCTTCACCTCTGTCCCATTTGAGCCGAGCGACGCGTCAGCGCGGTCACTGCTCCCACTTGAACTGACTGAAGGCAGGAGGATGGCGGGGTCAGGGCGGGGGGGGGGGGGGGG